ATAATATTATTATATTTTTATATTTTTTAAAAAGATTTTATATTTAAATATTTCGTTTTTTAAATTATATTATTATTATAAAATAATTTTATTATTTTTAAAAATATTATTTTTAAAATAAATATTATATATTTAATAATTTTATTTTTTTTATATATTAATTTTATTATTTTAATATTTATTAAATTTCTTTTTTTAATTTTTTTTAATATTTTTAAAAAATTTATATATATATATTATATTTTATTTATTTTATAATTTTTTATTATTACTATAAAAAATTTACTTATATTTAATATTTATTTTTTAAAAGCTTTTTTAATTTAATTTTAATTTTTTAATTTATATATTTCGGTTTTTTTTTAAAAAATGATTATAATATTTTCGTTTTATAATTAACATATAATTATTCCCTTTTTTTATTTCAATATTTAATTTATAATTTTTATTATTTTTTTCGCATTTTTATTAATTATTTTTAAAATTAAAACGTTATTTTTAATAATTATTTTTTTTATTTTTTTTATTAAAATTATTATTACGTTATTTTAATTTTTATAACTTTTTTTATTATTATAATGTTAATTTAAATCTTTTTTAATATAATTTTTATAATAATCTTTTATTTTTTTATTACATTTTTTAACTTTTTAACTATTAATTTAATTATTTTTTTTAATATTTTTAATTTATTTTTAATATTAATTAATTTAATTATTTTATTATATTATTATTTCATTTTTATAATATTATTATTTTCTTTTAATTGCGTTAAATTTTTATTTTAATATATTAATAAATTATATTTATATTTTATTAAATTTTTTTTATTATTATTTTTTATTATATTTATTAATTATTTTTTTAATATTATTATTATATTTTTATAATTATTATTTATTTTTTATATTTTTTATTATTATTATTATTATTATTTTTATTATTTTTATTATAATTTATATTTAAATTAAATATAAAATTTAAAAAAATGCATATATTTATAAACTCGTTTAAACGTTTTTATATACTTATAAATTTATATATAAAAATTTATTAAAAATATTAAATCTTTTATTAATTTCTTTATTATTTATTAATAAATTATTTATTAATTATTTATTATTTTTTTATTATTTTTTTATTATTTTTTATTATTCTTTTATTAATTTTATATAATAATTTTTAAAAATTTTAATATAAAAATATTTTTAATAAATTACGCGTTAATTTATTTATTATTACCATTTTTTAAATATTTTTATTTTACGCCTTTATTATAAAAATAATATAAAAATTTTATAACTTTTTAATTATTTTAATTAATAATTTTTTAAATTTTTAAATTAATTTTTATATATTATAACGTAAAACTTTTTTATAAATTTTTAATTATAATAAATAAATTATATAATTATAATAAATAAATTATATAATTATAATTAATTATATAATTATAAATAATTATATAATTATAATAAATTATATAATTATAATAATAATTAATTTAATTAATAAAATTATATAAATAATTTTTTATTATAATAAAAATAAAAAATTTATTAATTAAAATAAAATTAATAAAATTAATAAAATTAATTAATTAACATAAAACTAATATATAAAATTAATAAAACTTTATTTATAATATATTAAAAATCTTTTAATATAAATTCTTAAGTAAAGTTAAAATAAACCTTATTTAAACATAAGGAAAACTGAAAAAAAGATGAGAAATTAAATGGCATACCCTGAAATTCCAGTCATCAAAGCAGAAGGGACTTAGCTTATGTCCATTGCTAGAAACGATCGCAATACACGGCATGGGAGGTTTGAGAATCCTGGCCATGATCAGGTTAGTGAACAAGAAATGGTCTTAGTGGTTGGTGGCTAATTGGCTTCCATATCCATCTGGAGACAAAGCCCAATCCATAGCCATAACCCCGGCATTGTTGACGAGGACGTCAATATGAGTGACGTCGGCCCATACATTAACCGTGTCGGCAGCCTTGCGTACCGCAGATGAAGACACCAAATCTAGTTCAAGAGTAAGAACCCTAACAAAGGGGGATTGGTTCAAAACAGCCTTTGCTGTTTCTTTAATCTTAGCTAGATTGCGACTGGCAAGAATAAGTATTGAGGGTTGGGCTTGGGCAACGGCAAGAACGAATCCTCCACCTAAACCCCTTAGAGTAACATCCGCAGTAAGGATGACTTTCCCGTTGGTTGCAAAGGCAAGTTCAAGACCTAGGTCATTGCCCGACTTGATTGAACCCATAATATCGTTAACAAGTCTAATAGGTTTACATTGGTAATGGATCAAGAGGGCGAATATGAAAGAGCTAGTCGTAATTCAAGTATATCGAATGAGTATAAAGGGTTGGAGTTCACTTGACAGCATACTCATACGTGGACATGAGGAGGGCATTTACATAATATGCTAATGGCCGCTTTAGCCGCCTTTATATGGATGCCTTAGAAATCGTACGTTAGGAATCTAGATGAAACATCTGGAAACACAAGACACTACCAGTATGTATAGCCATAGAGTACTGTATCTAACTTTGAGTTCCCCGTGGAATAATGTCTCCCTTGGTTCTTGTTCTACTTCGTAGCATCGTAGCACCTGCGAGCTTCGCTCAACTGGCTAGGTAGTTTAAACCCCTGACGATATTCATAACACCTCATTAGCAAAATAGGTAGCTTAGAGAACTAGTTAGAAATAAGTTCAACCTAGGGTAGCAAAGTGGAAAGTTATTAGAATGATCTTAGTTGAATGGACTTTTTAAACGGTTAAATATATCAAGGCTGAAAGGTTGTTTAATCTTTTTTTCCTTTGTATTATTTGAACCTTTTTTTGAGAGGCTTTCTTCCAGTAAAGCCATTAACCACGTAGGTGAATTGCCGATAGCATTCCACCTTTACATAAGGCTTATTGGTTAAAAGCTAGGGTCGTCCGAGTTGAGGCGGGAATTATTAGGATGTACACACAATGGGTATAGCAGGTACCGTGGTGCTAAGAAGGGCGGGGACGAATGCTGAGATCTACGTTTTGGCGATGTGAATGGTGTTGACCAGCAACGAGATAATGGTTATATGGAAGGCAAAATAATTATATTAATTATCAATAATACAAGATAAGTTGGTCAGGACAAAGCAAGCTATCTTATAATATTTATTTTCGAATTCCGAGTAGTTTGCCTTTCACGGCTCATTCTAATGGCCGAGGTAATCTGTTCGCAGTGCCGTAATAAAGCTTCGGAAGAGAGAACCATCCGAGAACCATCCGGGAGGAGATGGTGGTTCCACTAACCATCCAAATATACCATTCCTACTAGGTTATTCCGTCCAATATTTCCCTCGCTAAGGGGTCTTTGCGATGATATTTTATTTTGTGCTAAAGTCTCTTAACATCATCCCTCAACATTTTAGAGAGTCCCAAAACGTCAAACCCATATTCTCAAATGCCAGGATTTTATATGACTCTAGATATTTGGGTCGTCCTGTTTGTATAGCCAGTTTTTAATAGTTTTCCCTAATACTCTGATGTGGGTTATGAGTAGCCTATTTAAGGGTTCCAAGGAGTTCATTTTGGGGGGGGGGGGGGGGGGGGGGTGTGTATTTTTTAAAAAAAACCCCCGGAAATTTTTTTGTTTTGGGTGGTGTTTTGATTTTGTTTATGAACGGGGCATTTTAAAAAATAAAAATATAAAT